ATACCACAAGGCGGGAGGCTTCCTGACAACGTTACTGCAAAGAGACTCTGGAGCATGGAGGAACATGAGCGCCTGGCCGCAAACATAGCCAAGTGCCCAGAAACACTGGCATTCATCCCTTCGCAAACAGGGTTATGCAGGCCGGTTCTTATGCTTGAAGCCTTGCTGAAGGAAGCTGAGTCGGGAGCAACTCTAAGCGTACGTGTGGCCTCTGAGATTGCTGACTCTTTACAGTCTCGCCTAGCGGTTGCAAGGGGGGAGCAGCACAATCTCAACAAGATAGTGCCACGTGACAAGTATGGACTCGAGGAACCAAAGCCGCCAAAGAAGTCAGGGGTTGTTGTGATTGAGGAATTTAACAGTTTTCTGAGTGCTTCGAAGTATGATCTTGTTCAAAAGGGGTATTTGCACCTTGTTAACAAGCGTGAAATGGTGATTCAAAAGGTTCAAGCGGAGGCAAGAAGCAAGTCCACCACAGCAGCTAACACTCGAAATCAGCTTCCGGGCATCACTGATGCAGTTTGGGAGAAGATAACGGAGACCATACACAACGTGGTTAGTAGACGGTCAACAGGAGCCGGTAGCAAGATCACGGTGACGCAGAAGTTCTTGCAAGACCTATCTCAAAAGCTTGAAGCGCCAAATGGAGAACATGAAGTGTACCGACTGCTCAACACTTTCGAGTTTCCTGTTCTTAGTGAAATCCTAGAGGTTTCAACTGCAGGTGATTGGACAAAGACCGGTGCAATTTACCAAATGATGAAAGACAGGGGGCACACAGGGGGAAAGTTTAACACTCCTGAGATGGACACCTCGGGGGGGATAGGAAGCAGCTCTTCAGTGTACGTTCCAACACCGCAAGACCCTCTTGCCCAATTTGAAACTAGTTACTATGCCAAGAACGAACCTACACCGGCGGCGCCATCTACCGGTGTACTTGACCTCCTTGCTGGCGATTTTGGCCCCGTCGCTAGTCATGCTCCGCAAGCGTCTTCATCTGACGATCCTTTGGCCAGCTTTGCAGCCAATCAAGGGCTGCCAAACTTCTATCCAGCACCAATCTTCCGCGGCATTGGTTGGGAGGATAAAGTGGACAACGTGGTGCGCAGCCTCCCTCCTTCATCAGGCAAACCAATTGTGGATGCCTACATGTCCAAGAAGCAAAGCTTCCTCCATGTTAATGGGGATTCTGAGCGCAAGTTGCAAGTGATAATGGCATTGACTAGCTCGTTTGGTACTCACCACAAAGATGAGCTTGAGAGGGCAATGTCCATTGTGTTCAACACTTGATGAAGGGTCAGAACTGTGGTCATAGTGGCCACTCATGTGCGAGTCTGCTGTCTTCTCCGAGTTTCGAGATGTGATAGAAATCCTGGGCTGATGGTCATCGCACTCGAAATCAGCATGCTCTTGATACTCTGCAATTTCTTAGATTGCCTTCTAGCTAGGGACGGGACAGTGAAAGGGCGGAGCACAGATGGTGCAGGGGCAAAGAGGATGAATCCCATGGGGGGAGAAATGGCAGAGTAATAGGGGATGAATTAGCACGTTTACCTGAACTTTGTATGGGGTCCTGGGGTCAACCATTTCTCCCCTGCCCCGTGCAGCTTGACCGCCCACTAGTTGAGAAGATGGCGAGATATGGTGTTGTGGAGAAGTACTGAAATGTCCTGGGCAAGTTTCACTAGTCAATGAGCCTTTCACCAGTTAATGACCGTCTGTTAACAACAGTGAGTGTTGAGTAGTATCACTAGCATGACTGTGGCCACAAGCGCTGCAGAGCCGATGTCCTGTGTGCCTCGCCTGGCTTGTCCGAGTGTGAGCGATTAAACCCTAAACCCTAAACCCTAGACCCTAGACCCTAGACCCTAAACCCTAAACCCTAAACCCTAAACCCTAAACCCTAAACCCTAAACCCTAAACCCTAAGCCCTAAACCCTAAACCCCCAGCCCCAACCTCCTGCCGTGGAAGCTCGGCCGCTACATTGCTGCCTTCGAAGAGCAGCCGGACCTGCGGACACGGGTGCTGGTTGGCAACAAGCAACTTCGGCCCAATGGTTGGATCGGGTTTAGGGTTTGGGGTTTAGGGTTTAGGGTTTAGAGTTTAGGGTTTAGGGTTTAGGGTTCAGGGCTTATGGTTTTGGGTGTAGGGTTCATGGGCTTGGGTTGTCTCAAAATCCTTCAGCTAGGGTTGCATGAGGATCTTACAAGTCAAGGCTCAAGAACGGTGTGTCGGCAGGGTGTGCTATGGGAGGAGATAGTCAAAAGGCACCACCTCTTCACCTCTGTCACAACTTACAATACATGGGGCTTCTTGTCGTCGCTGAGATATGCTCGGAGACAGTGGTCAAACCCTAAACCCTAAACCCTAAACCCTAAACCCTAAACCCTAAACCCTAAACCCTAAACCCCAAACCCCTAAAACGACCAGGGCCGATCTTCTGGACCGCCGCAAAGTTACCCACGAGGAGGCGCAGCGCTTCGCGGTCAAGGCGGGGCGAGGAGCGCGGAGACAGCCCAAGACCCCTCAAATGGGGTTTAGGGTTTAGGGTTTAGGGTTAAAAAAAGGGTTTAGGGTCCCAGCCGACGCCACAAGCCTGGATGCAAAAAGACGTGTTTGGTGTGGGGTTTAGGGTTTGGGGACTTCGTAATCGAGGCACCATGAGATCATGGGACATTTGGCACGGGGTTTGGGGGAATGGCTGGGGCAGAGCCTAGGTCATGCAGAGGCCATGGGAACTCCGGCTTGAGATTCGGCCGTAAGAAGGGGGGATCCAGGGTTGAGCACAATGGACAGAACTTCTTGGTTGCGGGGTTAGTTGGGCCACAATGTCACGCTGTCTCTCTCTGTGTGTGTGTCTACATGGTGGGAGGGCGCAGTGCTACATGTATGTATGTATGTATGTATATAAATATATGTAGAACAAAAGGGATCCTAATTTAGAGAGCTACTTACAGAATCGTCAAACTGCTATGCCCTGAGACAAGACACACCCACAGAGCCCTACCTAAGCCTTGCATGCCTCGCCGGCCATCATCGCCCGAAACCTTCGCCTCAAGAGCATCCCTCAACCCCAAATCCTCAAATCCTCAATCCCCAAGTCCCTAAACCCTAACCCCCAAGACACTAAACCCCAAACCCCAAACCCTAAACCCTAAACCCTAAACCCTAAACCCTAAACCCTAAACCCCAAACCCTACACCCTAAACCCTAAACCCTAAACCCTGCAGCAGGCGCGTGCGGCCTACTTTGAAACTTCGGCCAAAGACGGGACTGGCATCGAGGCCGTGGGTTTTCAGGGCCTCAAGAGACGATGCCCCTCCTTCGGCCGCTTAAAGGGTGTGTGGTTTAGGGTTTAGGGTTTCAGGGTTTAGGGTTTAGGGTTTAGGGTTTCAGGGTTCAGGGTTTAGGGTTTAGGGTTTCAGGGCAGACGGTACCATAAACGCACACCACTGAGTGCAGGGTGTGGGGTGAATGGCCTTCCGGCTGTGCACCCATTTCCAGCCCTGAGCCCTAAGGCCCCCAAGCCCGTGTTCAGCACAGTATAAACCCTAAACTCTGCGTGATGCTGGGCCAACAGAGCGGACTTGAGATTTCCGGTAAACCCTAAACCCTAGACCCTAAACCCTAAACCCTAAAGCCTAAAGCCTAAACCCTAAACCCTAAGCCCTAAACCCCAAACCCTAAACCCTAAACCCCAAGCCCGAAACCCCAAACCCTAAACCCTAAACCCTTGTTCGAAGGATGCCATCCACTATGCGATGCTCGAGGCCTTGGATCAGATCTCGGCCCAGAAGCGGCCAGCATGCCAAGGCATGCGGGGAAGGGTTTGGGGTAGGGTTTAGGGTTTGGGGTTTGGGGTTTAGGTTTGGGGTTTGGGGTTTGGGGTTTGGGGTTTAGGGGTTTAGGGGTTTAGGGGTTTAGGGGTTTAGGGGTTTCGGGTTTGCTTTAGATTGGGTCGCACTTTTCTCAGGGAATCTTAGAGCACAGGTTTGAAGCTTCTTTGCTGTGCATCTTGGTTTCGGCTGGCCCTTTTGCTAGCTTTATTTCTCTTGCCCCCATGACCTCTCACCCCAAATCCAGATGTGGGTTTTCACGCACCGGCTTGCTCACAAGTAGCTAGCATCACATGGTGTACGTGGCAGGTATGTAGGGGTTTAGGTTTTGCGCCGCCCTCATAAGTAGTGGTTGGCCCAAGTCGTAACGGATGCTAAACCTTGTAGATATTGATTGTCCCAGGAGGCAGCACAGGTCCAGTGTCTAATTGCCAGCTGTCCTGGCCATGTGCTCAATGTTTTTTGGTCGAAGGCGCGGGATTCAGGGCATCGGACCCTGCATAGTTTTCAGAGCCATGTCGACTGCCAAGTTAGGCTACGCTGCATGGTACCCTAAACCTTAAACCCTAAACCCTAAACCCAAAACCCAAAACCCTAAACCCTAAACCCTAAACCCTAAACCCTAAACCCTAAACCCAGTAGGCTCAGGGCATGGGGCCTTTGTCACTTTCGCTTGCAGGCGCCCTGTCGCCTTCGCTGGCTGGGCGGATGGCTCAAGCTGTACAGTTATGCAGCCTCCTGTGAGACAAAAAGCTCGCGTTACTAGGGTTTAGGGTTTAGGTTTAGGGTTTAGGGTTTGGGGTTTGGGGTTTAGGGTATAGGGTTTAGCGCTTCGGTTCTGGAGTTTGGGGTTTCGGGTTTAGGGAGTCAGGGAGGGTTTAGCGTCTGGCTTTGAGTCCCTACTGTACTGTATACCCTAAACCCTAAGCCCCAAACCTTCACAGTGCAGTCGCGCTCAGTTGTTCAGATACAGAGACAGCGCCAAGTAAACCCTAAACCCTGTGATCAATTGATGTTGGGGTGCTTACGAAATAGGGGACCCCCATTTTGACCCCCAAATAGTAGGATCCCCTCACAAGAAGGACCCCAGTAAGGTACCCCCCCAACTTCGGAAACCGCCATTCTCAGAGGATCACCGCCCTTAGCCCGCTGCCTCGCTTGAGGCCCCTCCTGCGACGAGCCCCCCAGCCGCGGGAGGCAAGGAAGCAGGGAGTGTACTTGGACCCTCAACCCTAAACTCTAAACCCTAAACCCTAAACCCTAAATCCTAAACCCTAAACCCTAAACCCTAACCCCTAACCCTAAACCCTAAACCCTAAACCCTAAACCCGGGTTTAGGGTCTGCAAGAGACCGGGTTTAGGGTTTGGGAAAGCCCGGATGAAAAAGGGTTTAGGGTCTGGGATGGAGGTGCATGGGAAGTTATAAGTAGGGTTATAGATACCCTACATAAGGTTAGAACCAGCTGTAAGTATAGTTGCCCTAATTATGACCCCCAATTACAACTACCCGTGAGCCTCCAAGTAGGGTCTTCGGCTCAGTGGTTCAGGGGTTTTCGGTCTGGGTCCGAGTCTGGGTTAAAAGAAAGGGGTTTCAGGTTCGGGTTGAGGGCACAAGGAGTTTAGTCTCTTTTTCTTTGCGGCCCTCAACCCTAAACCCTAAACCCTAAACCCTAAACCCTAAACCCTAAACCCTAAACCCTAAACCCTAAACCCTAAACCCTAAACCCTAAACCCTGAACCCTGAACCCTGAGCCCTGAACCCTGAACCCTAAACCCAGACTTAGGGGCTTCGCCCCAAGAGCTTCGGAGGCTACCTGGCACCGGGCGGCGGTCTCCCCTCCAACGTGGCCTCGCAGATCCAAGCACTGTTGGGCCAGGCCTCCTCTAAACGCTGAACCCTGAACCCTGAACCCTGAAGCCTGAACCCTAAACCCTAAACCCTAAACCCTAAACCCTAAAACCCTAAACCCTAAACCCTAAACCCTAAACCCTAAACCCTACACCCTGAACCCTGAACCCTGAACCCTAACCCTGAACCCTGAACCCTGAACCCTGAACCCTGAACCCTGAACCCTGAACCTAAACCCTAAACCCTACAGCCAAAACCCCAAACCCCTAAAGCCCTAAACCCTCGGGGGCTTCTTTCATTGCGTTGTGTTGTCAAGGACTGTTTTTTGTTCAAGACAGGTGGTGGCTGCGTGACTGCAATGCCGTGATGTAACTTGTAATATAGGGGTCGGAAGAATTACGAATAGTATTCCCTTAGGGTCCCTATATAAACATACTATAATAACCCCCATTAAGGCCCCTATAGTAGACGTTTGAGGCTTGTACATTCTGCCCAATTCTCAAATTGAACCCTAAACCGTAAGCCCGACACCCCAGGCAGCAGGAACCCTAACTAAATCCCACATGCTCTTCCCCATGCCCTAAACCAACACTTGCAGTAAGCCCCAGGTAAAGCCCTCAACCTCTGAGCCCAACACCCTGAATCAAGGAGGTCCATTTTGTGAGTTGAGGTCTTTCTTCACTAAGGGGTTTTTTGGCTTCTGGGAGCGCCTACACCCGAAACTCTAAACCCTAAACCCTAAACCCTAAACCCTAAACCCTAAACCCTAAACCCTAAACCCTCAACCCTCAACCCTCAACCCTCAACCCTAAACCCTGAACCCTAAACCCTAAACCCTAAACCTTAACCCTAAACCCTAAACCCTAAAGCCCTTCGAGCCCTTCGAGGCACCGAACGCAGCCGCGGCCGCGGATGCCGCGCCCAAGCTACTGGTGCCTGCGCTACCGGCCGAGCCCCCGAGGCACTTCTGGGATGGGAGGAGCGACAGCAGCCGCTCTGAGTCTCTCGGGCACGCAGCGATGCGCCACGAGAGGACGACGAACACCCATTCGATTTGGGCGCCGGGTTGCTTCACTGAGTTATCGCATGCGTAGCAGGCCACGCATATAAATCTTAGTTTGGGCCTGTTTGTGAACTGTATTGTGGATTGGAGTGCAAGCAGAAACATGCCCACCCCACCCCACCCCACCCCATTCGTCGCAACTCGCCAAAAGAGCCGGACAAAAGTAGAAACCAACCCACTGCCACACCCTCAGCCCTATGCCCTATGCCCAAAACCCCAAAATCCCCCAACAGCCACAACATCCCACCACAATCCCCCAAAATGCCCAAAATCCCCAAAGCCCCCCCAAAAAGCCCCCAAACTCCCGTGAGGGTGTCAACAAAAATCGCCCTGCAAGGCTCCTGGAACTCCGTGGCGTGGAGCCGCAGATCCTCCGGCGTTCGGAGGCCTCGCTGGGAGGAGGAGCTCTATTTGGTTTAAGATGGTTTAAGGGTGTTTAGGGTGTTTAAGGGGGTTTATGGGTTTAAGGGTGTTTAGGGTGTTTAAGGGGGTTTGGGGGTTTAAGGGGTTTGAAGGGTTTAAGGGGGTTAAATGGGTCTTAAGGGGTTTAAGGGGTTTGAGAGGTTTAAGGCCTCTGTCCATGCATCAGCAACGGGGCTCAGGGCTTAAAAAAAGCAAGGGTTTAGGGGTTGAGGGTGCCCAGAGACTCCAAAACCCCTTAATCAAGGAATCTACCTTAAATCATATTAGGGTTCCTATTCTAATTTAAGGTATATTCCTTAATTAGGGGTTTTGGAGTCTCTGGGTGTGCTCGGCAGGTCCCGTGCCGGTAAGCGTGCAGCAACATGCAGACATGCCCCACCCCCAAGACCGCCCGAAAAACGAGTCGCAGCCAAGCCCGGAGACAGCAGCCAAGCCAAAACAAAGCGGAAGATAGCCAGTTTTTTTCAGTTATTATTATTATCATTATTATTATTATGATAATAACAATTATTGTTATGATTATTATTAAGAACAGATGTTTCGGCTTTAATTATAACACTGCTGCGCAGGGGACACTTGGATTACTTGAGGGCCTCCAGGGTTTCCAGTGCCTCCAGGGCCTCCAAGCCTAAACCCTAAACCCTAAACCCTAGACCCTAAACCCTAAACCCTAAACCCTAAACCCTAAACCCTAAACCCTAAACCCTAAACCCTGCCATTCCAAGCACTTCAGGTCGAGCTGTTGAACTCCCAGGGCTTCGCCATGATCGACGGCTTCCTGCAAGACCGGCCACCCCTCCCCCCACCAGGGCTTACTGGGAAGTTCATGGGTACTGATAAGTAGGGTTATCACTAGGGCAACTATGGTGATAACCTTGTTTAGGGTACTTAGAACCCCACGTATAAGTACCCATATGAACCTTCAAGTAGGGATTGAAGGCGTGAGGCTGCAGCTGGCTTTAGGGTTTAGGGTTTAGGGTTTAGGGTTCAGGGTGTAGAGTTTAGGGTTCAGGGTGTAGAGTTTAGGGTGTTGAGTTGCTTAAGGGTATTTGCGGGGCTTTCAGGGTTGATGGGCTTCAAGCACGGAGTTTAGGCGCTGAGGAGCTTTGGTTCCGAGGGACGTGGCACTTGCCTCAGCTGGCTGATTCCCAAGCCCTACCCCCGCTAAACCCTTTTACCCCTATACCCTTAAACCCTAAACCCTAAACCCTAAACCCTTAAAAACCTTTAAAGACCCTAAACCCTAAACCCTAAACCCTAAACCCTTAAACCCTTAACCCTTAAACCCTTAAGCCCTAAACCCTTAAACCCTAAACCCCCGAAGCCTGAGCCCTGAACCCGCGCCTTGGGGACCTTGATACCTTCTGCCCCCTTCTGTTTTGGTACAGGTTCCTGAAGTAGGGGGGGGCCCCTTGGCTTCTGTTTTTGGGAAACAGGTCAAGGGGTACCCTAACACTTCCTGGGGAGGGGAGTGGTCGGGTTAAGGGTTTAGGGTTTAGGGTTTATGGGCTTTAGGGCGTAAGGTCAAAATCTGTGCGACAGGTGCTACGGCCAGTTCTGCAGCCGCTGCAAGATCGAGCCCGGAGAGGCGGCTGAGATTGCAAACCTCAAGCCTGTAAACCCAAGTCAAGCCCCAACTGAGAGCAGCTGCTGGTAAAGGGGGCTGGTAGAGAGGCCGCTCCGACAGCTCCTGGGAGGGATCTCCGAAGCCCTGGCCAGGCCCTGGCTGCCGTGCGCAGAGCCCTGGCGCTGCTGCGTTTGCGGCCGGCGCGCCTGGGCCGTGGCGAGAGCCCCGTGGCTGACGGAAGGGGTTTAGGGGTTGAAGGTGGAGGTTTTTTCGAGGAGTCTGGGGAGTTTTGGGTGCAAGTTCAAAGGGGCTGGTGGCGTGCCCTGCGACGCCTCGTGACCTGGAACCCAAGTCATCCTCACGCCCCCAGTGTTGCTGTTGGCAGCCAAATCAGATGGATGAGTCGACAATTGCGGCCTTGTTTTGGGAAGGGGTTCTTGTCATGTGCATGCGGAGACACCCTAAACCGTGTTTGCAAAGCCCTTGGTCAGCTAGGCAAGAGGCAATAACACCCGAGGCCCTGAACCATGTATCTATGTCCCCTTGGGGAATTATTTCTGTTTTTGTTTATATAAAGCCCAAGAGGATCTTAAACATATGATTTTTATTAAGGTTCTAAGGGAGTATAGGTATGTCATACTGACCTCCAGGCGTCTGGAGCAGTGCGGCGGTACGCCATGGACTCAGACTTGATTCTTGCGGCGTTTGGGCTTCCCGGATGAGGGCCCAGGGGTAAGGTTTCAAAACAGGCGCTCCCCCAAAGAAAGTGACTTAAGGGGATGAGAAGAAATAGCAACCTCGTCTGCAACCCCACAGAGCGGCCCTAAGCACCGAAGAGCCTTTGACAAAACTTCGCGGTCCTTTATATTTGGGTTTCCTAATAAGGCAGCTAAGAATTTAATGTAGTAACTACCCTCCTAAGTGCAGCCAAGAAAAGACGCCCTCCCTGGTTCGAGGTCTCAAGAAGCACGGCACGTCCTAAGCCTGCAACCCCATCCGGTGGAGGGGTCGACCTACCCGGGGGAGCCCATGGAATCCCCATCATGTACCTTCAGCGATGCGTCCACGTACCTGAATTTGGGCCTTCTGCTTCTTGAATTCCTGTAAGCCCAAGGCCCCAAACCCCAGAACTCCGAACCTTAAAGCCCTAAAGCCTAAAGCCTACAGCCCTAAACCCAAGCCCACCCTAAGCCCTGAACCGCGATCAAAATGCCCCTAGTCCGGAGGTGGCGACGAGATGACCTGGCTGAGCGTGCCCAAAGCGAGCGACCGGGAAGGCCGGGGAAAGAGAGGCTGAGGGTCAGCGCTTCGGGTTTATCATTGGACTCTACCTTGGGCCTTGGGCCCCTAAGGTTGTGCCCTTTCACCTCTTAGGGGGTTACGCCTCTTACTCCCTTCAGTTTCGGGTTTTGGGGTTTATACCCTACGTTCCTAATCGCGTGGGAGTTAGGGTTCACAGCTTCAAAGCGCATAGTGGGTGCTCTCTTTGGGCTTTCAGTTATCAAGTGGTCTTTAAGAGCCTTAAAAGTCTCCAAGGCTCACTGGGATTTGAGCATGGTGTCGAGGCGTCTCTCCTGAAGCTTCGACATTGTGTGCCGGACCAGCCGCCGGCGAGTGAACAGTAACAGCTCCAACCATTTGATAAGGGCGGCGAAACGGGCATTTACTGGGACAGTGGTCTGCAGTGCGTCCGATTGTGGTCCGCTAGGCGGGTGAACTTCCCAAGAGGCGTCATGATGACTTGAGGCAGAATTCCTCCTCCAAGGAATGACGCCAAAGCCAGAGGCGGCCCAAAAAACCCTAAGCCCCAACAGTGAGAGAAAGCAACCCCTGGACCTCGAGCATCCGCCAGCTCTCTGGCGCCACGGGCAGCGTGCGCTGGAGCTGGGCGCCGGACGCAGCCAGGCGCCGCCAACACGACCCCATGTGGACCCCGAACTTCCGAAAGTTACTTGGGGGTTCATGGGGGTTCATGGGCAGTTATGAGTATGTGGGGCGCGCATCAGGTGTGTGGGTTCACCCCTCATGCCCGCATGAAAGGGAGAAAGAAAGTGAAAGAGAGAGAGAGAGAGAGAGAGAGAGAGAGCCCGAAACACTGAACCTTGAACGGTCGGATGCTTGGTCTTCGTGTGTTTGCGGTGTTCGGATGCTGCTTGGCATTTTGTTGTTTTTTTTGTTCTGGGGGGAGGGTGTAGGCACTTTCAGGTTGCAGCGCTCAGGCTGTTTAGGGTTATGGGGGGTTCTTAATAATAGCACAATAGCATTAGAGTAGGCGAGTGTACCAATATACAAAAACATGGATGACAGAGTTTTTGAATATAATACTACTAGAACAACAAAGCAAGTACATGGATAACGTAGTTTTGCAGAAGCCAGCCGAGCCAGAGAGACATGCTTCGTCCTTGCCATTCCTGGCCCCAGGAGAGAGGGAAGCCCGGGAAAGACATAGCAGGCGCGTCTGGGTTTAGGGTTTAGGGTTTAGGGTTTAGGGTTTAGGGTTTAGGGTTTAGGCCCTAAACCCGAAGCCCAAACCCTAAACCCTAGATTCTGTTCATTACCACAATCATCTCCGGAAGCCTCCCAAAAAAAATGCTGTAGGAAGATCCCTACAAAGCCCCACCCCTGTTTTTCCCATTTTTTTTGGTTCAAAGGTTCCCTTCATTTCCCTTACCGACATAAGGGCGCCCTCATGACAAAATTGACTACTGGGCTACGCCTCTTGTTGATGCCTTTTTCAAGTGGTCCGCCGAGGGAGGGGCAGGATGGCCAGGTCGGGGGTGCATAAACCCTAAACCCTAAACCCTAAACCCGAAACCCTAAACCCCAAACTCTAAACCCCCCCCCCCCCTCTGGGTCCTTTTTTCCCAAGGCTCGGCCGACCCTTGCGAGTATGACGCGATCAAAGCCAATCTGCAGTCATGCTTTGCAAAGAAGGAGGTGGGCTCCAGCGCTTTGATTTGCTCAAAGAGTGCCTTCACCTTCATTCAAGAACCCTTGAGTTTAGAATGAAGACTGCTCTGCAGTTGAAGACGTGCTCCTTAATTCCGCAACAGATGCGAAGCACCCACCGCGAATGAAGGGTGCGGGACGAGGGAATGTGACTGGGAATATGAGAATGTCGAAAATGACAATCTACTACTAGACTAATACAACTATATGTGAATATAATGACATGAGATATCTCAAACAATCTGTCACACTAATTTACCAAAATGACCGCTCATATAATCACACATCATTTTTTTTGTGATCCACCACCAGGAGCCCGCGTCGGGCGCGAGGGGGGAAGTCCACACTTCTGAAGAAGCCGTGCTGGCACCGGGGACTGAGCAACCCTCGAGCCCTCATGGGTTTAGGGTTTAGGGTTTCGGGTTTAGGGTTTACGGTTTAGGGTTTCAGGTTTCGGGTCTAGGGTTTCGGGTTTCGGGTTTAGGGTCTACAGGGGATTTGGAGGCTTCGAAGAGTGCAAAAAGGGGATTGCGAAGAGTTTCGTTTTGGGGCCTCCAGGGCTCTCACGTGAATCCAGTTTTCTCTGGGACTAACGCTATTATCCCTAAACCCCAAGCCCTAAACCCTAAATAAATAAAGAAAGTTGGGCTCTGGATTGCATTGTGCAAAGCATTCTCTCTGCAGTTGCCCCATGGAGCATCACTAGACGAGTGGCAAGAAGCCCTAAATCAATAATGTAGGGGTCGGAATAATGACTGATCTTATTCCCTTCTGGTCCCTTTGTAGTTATAGTATAATAACCCCAAAACCCTAAACCCTAAACCCTAAACCCTAAACCCTAAACCCTAAACCCTAAACCCTAAACCCTAAACCCTAAACCCTAAACCCTAAACCCTAAACCCTAAACCGAAACCCTAAACCCTAAACCCCAAAACCCCATTCTGAGTAGACCCCTATATTAGGGTCGTGTCTGGCGGTTTTTTTTGTTGAATTCGTGTGGGGCCCTCCTCCAGGTCCCGGAGGTCCGCTGGTTTGGGGTGTAGGGGCGTGTCGGGGAGCCTTGGTACGGTTTAGGGTATAGGGTTTAGGGTTTAGGGTATAGGGTTTAGGGTTTAGGATTTAGGGTTTAGGGTTCAAGGTTTCGGGCGTGCTTCTCTTCATGCGTGCCTAAGGCTCCCAGGAACTCCTCAAACCCCCGCGCCCTGGTACCCTCATTCCTAGGGTTAGGCTCCCTTCGCAAGCCCATGTTCGCTCCTTGTTCGGGCTAAGTTGACTTCTACACCTCGTTACACACAAGGTCCCTAGGTTGCTGGGAAGCCTGAAGTCGGGAAAAGGGGTTCAGCGTTCAGGGTGGCTTAGGATCATGTCCAGGCGAGACTCAAAGGGTCAGGGTGCACGCAATGGGCTATCTGCAAAGAGCCCCAAAGTGACGGCAGCGAGCAGGCAGCGGACGAGCAAAGCTCGGAGTGCTACCAGGACAGGGTTTAGGGTTTAGGGTTTAGGGTTTAGGGTTCAGGGTTTAGGGTTTGGGGATTGGCTTCTGGGAGTTTGGCTTCTGGGAATTTGGCCGTGGCCGTATCCATGTTAATGGCCTGGAGCAAGCCCTTGGTTAATGCGCGATCTCTTCCATAGGGGCCACATTCGGAGTATATTCAGGGAGCCTCTTAGGGGTACGTCCTTAGGGCGCCCCAAGTTGAAACCTCAATGCCCCAAGCTGCCTTGAACCCTAAACCCTAAAGTGCAAACTACCGCAGCGTTGAGCCTCGGAGCTCTCAAGCCTGCCCCCCCACCACTTAGCACTTAAGCCTTACACACTAAGCCTCCCACCCCCGCAACCCGAACTGCCATCAAGTTTGGGAGAAGAGGCCACACAACCCTGAATGGTGACTGAGATGACCCACTTAAAACGCAAGGTTGCATCCCCACCCTATAGGGGAAAGTTTCGACTTCGGTTCTCGTCCGCTCGTCCGCCATGCTGCATGTTCGATGGCTTTCAGGGGAGGAGCTGGCGACCTTGCCCGCGGACGATGTGCGCGATGTGAGGGCAGTCAAGCAGCGGCTGCACAAGACGCATGGGGTGCCGCCCCGGTTCAGGCAGAGAGTCCTGCTTGATGGCAAGAACTTGGATGACGCTGCTGAAGTGGATGCATCCATGGACCTGCATCTTCTTGTGCTCACCTTGTGTGGCGCCCAGGTGGAGGCAGACTCGCTTGTCAAGCTTGCCGAGGACGGCTTGGTGAAGGAGGTGGAGGCCATGCTGCAACTGCCCCAGGATCCGAACCTGCCCTGCTTGAGCCTGGTCTTGAGCCTTGGTTTTTGGCTTTGTTGTTGGGGCTTCTTGCCCAAACACGGCTTTCCTCATCAGGAAGGGCAGGCAGCTAAGCTTCTCGGTTTACTTTCACGTCACACGATTTTGCGTGAAGCCTGAGGAATGGCGGCCGCGAGAAGCCACTTGGTAGGGCAGCGCGAAATGGTCACACCGAAGTCGTTCGTTTGCTGCTGGAGGCAGAGGCCGACGTCAACTCGCGCAGCAGCGAGGGCACGACGGCCCTCATGTACGCCGCCTTCTACGGCTGCCTGGACATCGCGGAGCTGCTTCTGCAGGCAGGCGCCCGGGCGGAGCTTGTCCGGGACGATGGGGTCTCAGCCTTGCTGAGCGCAGCCTACCAAGGGCACCTGGAGATTGCCCGGCTCTTGCTGAAGGCAAGGGCTGACAAGAACTCAGCTCGGGATGACGGCACCACGCCCCTGATGGTCGCCTCCTACCACGGTCATCCTGCAGTGGTGCGCCTGCTCTTGGAGGCCGGGGCCGAAGACAAAGCCGACCTGGCGGGCACCACGGCCCTGCTGCTAGGCAGGGGCCTAGAGGGGGGATCCTTTCATGATGCTTCAAGAGCATCCGCTTTCTCCCTGGTTCGGGCTCCTTTTTTTGTGTAAAAAAGGGTTTCAAAGAGGGCTGGTTTGCCCTCTAAGCCCAGGCTCTGTGCATGCCAAGAAGGCCACCTGGAGATCACGGGCTTGCTTCTCCGGGCCGGTGCACAAAGGGACCTGGCGGACCACGAGGGAACCACCGCCTTGCTCCTCTCGTGTTGCCACCCGGAGCTGGTTTTGGAAAAGGAAAGCCGAATGGAGCTTTCATTTTGTGTTTTTTTTGGGGCAGGTTTAGGGTTAGGGGGGGCTGCTTGCATAAGCCGTAAGGCTTAGGTTGAAACAGATATGTAGAGAGCCCGCACATACCCTCGAGGTGAGGGTCATCTGGAAGTGGCGCGCTTGCTGGTGAAAGCAAGCGCTAACCCGGACTGGAGGAACTCTCAAGGCACCACTGCGCTCATGGCCGCGGCTCGGGAAGGCCATGAAGAGGTCGTCCGCTTGCTGCTGGAGGCCGGCGCCGATACTGGTTTCGTCGACAACGCCGGTGACACCGCACTCCTCCACGCATCTCGTGGCGGGCATGCGAAGATAGCCCATTTGCTCTCAGCGAAGAGGCACCGCAGTCAGTAGATCCACATCGGAGTCACAGCGAAGCGACTCTTCATGATGTGGCCTTGAGAGTTGAAGCAAGTGCAAAATGTCTCAGTTTGGACGCTTAGCTCGCGCAAGGTTAGCCAGCACCCGCACCAAAGGGAAACGCTTCATACACTGCTCGGACAGTAGCCAGTCGCCACCTCCCAAACTTTCCATCTCTAGCGCCCCTCGCCTCCGCCCACTAATGCCTGAGCCCAACCGCCAACGAATTGACCAACTCCGGATCGAAAGCTGAGACTTGACACACAAGTATAAACAAAATGTCGCCCGCAGCATTCTGCGGGCAAATATCTAGCCGAAAGCCATGGCCCGACTTGAATCCTTAACGGGCTCATCTTGTTGTGTTGTTTTTTTTTGCTATTTCTTCATCATACGACCAAGCCTGCTATGCTACTTCTACCACTACCCATGCAACCGCCACTGTTGCTTCCACACGACTACTACCACGATGCCTGCTCTGCCACTCCTACTCCTACTCCTACTCCTACTCCTACTCCTACTCCTACTACTACTACTACTACTGCTGCTACTACTACTACTACTACCACCACTATTACTACCACCACCACGACGACTACTACTAGTACTAGTACTAGTACTCGTTCTAGTGCTAGTACTAGTACTAGTAGTAGTACTACTGCTACTACTACTGCTGCTGCTGCTACTACTACTACGACGACGACTACTACTACTACGACTACTACTACTACTACTACTACTACTACAACTACTACTACTACTACTACTACTACTACTACTACTACTACTACTACTACTACTACTACTACAGTACTAGGACGAGGACTAGGACTAGGACTAGGACTAGGACTAGTACTAGTACTAGTACTACTACTACTACGACGACGACTACTACTACTACACCGACGACTACGACTACTACTACTACTACTACTACTACTACTACTATTACTACTACTACCACGACTACGACTACGACTACGACTACCACTACGACGACGACGACGACGACTACTACTACTACTACTTCTACTACTTCTACTACTACTACTACTACTACTACTCCTACTACTACTACTACTACTACTACTACTACTACTACTACTACTACTACTACTACGACTACTACTACTACGACTACGACGACGACGACGACTACTACTACCACTACGACTACTCCTGCTACTACTACTGCTACTACTATAATGATATTACAACAGCAACGACGACGACTACTACCACCACTACTTCTACCACTACCTCATACTCGTTGCTTCACAGAAAAAGTTTTCCTATTCTGATTATGCTGAGAGCTGCGATTTTGAAAAGCCCACTCCCCACCTGCGCCCTGCCACCCGCCAGGAGTTGGACGTGCTGCTCGTCGCCATCACGGCATTGCAGCACGAGTTGGATGAGGTGGGTGTAGGGTTTAGGTTTAGGTTTAGGGTTTAGTTTAGGTTTAGGGTTTAGGGTTTAGGGTTTAGGGTTCATATAGGGTTTAGGGTGTATGGTTGATGTGTGCACCTCGACGCGGCTTGGGCGTCTCAGCCGAGAAGAGGCATGCTAATCATTACCACCCTAGCAATGCCCTGCATATGCCACCCAGTCCCTGCATGCCTAAGGGCACCCTGGGGGTCCCTCTTCATGGTCCCTCGCGCAACAGCACTTGGCCAGTTGTGAACCCACGAAGCATCAACAGCCGGTAGCTTTTCGGAGTGTAGGGCGTTTAGGGCGTTTAGGGCGTTTAGGGCGTTTAGGGCGTTTAGGGCGTTTAGAGCGTTTAGGGCTACAGTTCAGGGGCCGAGCTCTCTCTGAACCCTCAATGAAACCCAAACCGTGAGCCCTAAATCCTGTGAACCCTAAGCCCCTACATCTCTGAACCTTGAACTCCGAATCTTCTGAACTCGAGTCCTGTGGAGTCGCAAGCAGCACCCCAAACTCCCCAGATCTTCCAAAGTGCTTAGTTGAGGCCTTATCCAGATGGCATCGATGTCTGCTTAGTTGGTAACTGCAGGGGGTAGTCTGGCTGAAGCAAGTTTTACAGGCGAGCACGAACTCGGCCTGCTGAGCTGGTCCTCTATGGGAGCCTGAGCCCCAAGCGGGTCCGCGGCCCCTTTGCAGGCGTTGAACTTCAGCAGCCGCCGGCTGAGTACCATGGCCGCCAGGCGCCGCCGACTCACTTTAGGGTTTGGGGTTGAGGGTTTGGGGTTTAGGGTTTAGGGTTCCAGGGCTGCGGGTTGAAGGCTCCACAGACACAGAAGCCGCCCTGAAGACCTTGAACCCTGAACCCGAACATGAACCCTAGCCTAGACACCGAAGCCTCGCCTGCCTTAGGGGTCGCTGGCCCATTTTGGCAATACAGCACTCAAGACACCACCGGCACACCCACAAACAGTACCAACAGGTTTCGATCTTCCGGTATCAGTTCCTGGAGCCAAAAAAGGGCAAAAGGGTAAGACAGAACCCAAGACAGCAGCCCCGAAACCCCACCGCAAAACCTCCGGGCCCTGCAAGGTATCCAGGCAAGGGCGCGCGCTACGCCAGACACAGGGCTCCCTGCCTAAAAGGTCGGGATACGTCATTATGTGAACAGTGATGTTCAAAGCCTCATCATTGTCATGACGGTTATCCTCATTACGCTTCCCGTTACCATTGCCCTTTCCTTACCATTATCAGGAACATAGGTATCAAGATTCCCAGTAACATTGGCAAAATCATTATCATGGTTATCAATCACCACCATCTATGTAACGTTATCAGCAAGACAATAATCAAGATGATTCCAAGCAACATCGCCATGTATCGTTATCATTATATCAAGAGTTTCAAAAAATTGCCGCTGTTTGGTCAGGGGCCTCTTACCGTAGGAGTGGTTTCAGGTGTATCCCCAACTCCGTGAACCTCCACGCCCTGCGGTACACTTTGTCGGGGGTTCAAAATCTAAGTTAAGCCTCCAAACTCTAACCCTTCCCCGCCCCCCACGCACCCTAAACGCTACACCATAAACCCCAAACCCTCAACCCTGAACCCTGAACCCTAAACCCTAAACCCTAAACCCTACACCTTCACTCCAAGGATGCCTTGCCCAACCACGATCTGCGCCGCCGGCTGACGGCGGTGTACTATGCGAACGAGGGCTGGCGAGAGGAGGCTGCCTTGAAGGGTCCGGGGTTTAGGGTTTAGGGTTTAGGTTTAGGGTTTAGGGTTTAGGGTGACAAATATCACGATGGGGGGGTGGGAGTGCCGGGGGGGTGTGGCGGGTTCCCAAACTCCAGGATGGCGGCTGCCTGCGTGCGCACTTCCCAGCCGGGCCGTCAGCGGGTTTAGTGTTCAGGGTCTAGGGCCTTGAACCTTTGTTTGGCTTTAGAGTGCTTGTGGGGTTGAGATGGATCCTGGGGATTCGTAGTGGGGTTGCCTGTCCCCTGCGTGCATCTTCGGTGCACACTCAAAGCACCGTCCTTTCGTGCTTTTCCTTCAAGTGGGGCTTAGAGATTACAGGGGTTAAAAGGTTGTATAATTGAATATCAACCTACATCTTATATAATTCTGTATATATTATAGGTTTACACACACATACCATTACATATGTATATGTATATATTACATGTCCATATTGAGATTCATGCCCGCCGCCGCTCAAAAACTCGAACCTCGAAGATTTTAGTGGGATCTCACGGCTAAACCTTGGAGGGTTCTGGTATGGAACAAAGGGCTTAGGACACACCATGAGGCGGCGGTGGGCCGACATGTGGAGGGCGCCGTGCCGGGCGACAGCGAGGAGGGCTCTGAGGCCGTTGCAAGTGTGGCTCGTTGGCTGCTTGGTCTTGCTAAGTGGAGCTGTTGCTTCAGGGATGTTTAACCCAAGGTTTTTGCCTAGGCCGTTGACGCCAGGCTTGGGTAAAGGTCCCAAAAAAGCCTTCAGCTATCACCACTGCAGCTGCAATCGCACCAGCTCTGAGGCGGGAGTGCGATTCCTCTAGATCCAAGTCTCCCCCGAACCCGCGAACCCTGCACACACCTTCCACTCGGTCCTCGTTTGCCCTCAACAGGGTAGTAGAACAACGTTTAGCCGGCCTATGAGAAACTGGCACCACCCCCCTACCTCAAGCATACAAGCCGAAACCTCCTAAACCTCCTCAACCTAAGTCCCCCCCAACCGCAGAACCCCCCAAGCCCCCCCAGCTCCCTGACCCCTACAGCCTGAACCCTAAACCCTAAAGCCCCTAACCCCCCCCAGCCCCCCACTCAACGGCATACTGCCCGGCGATGGTGAGCCCTCAGCGCCATGCGCCGGCTCCGTGCGGTAGCACTTGTCATCTGCGGGCCCGCAGTCTCGCGGCAGCAGGGTTTAGGGCTGTTCAGGGTGAAGGGTTTAGGGCTTGAGGGCTTGAGATTTTGAGGCTTTGAGGGGCTTTAGAGTCGCTTTCTTTGTGGTACATCAACTTCAGGGTTCTTGAGGTTAAGGCAGAAGTAGGGGTTGAGGAGGGGGCTTCGATGCAAAGAAGCCTCAGAGCCGGAGCTCCCAGAGCCCCCCCCCCCCCCAGGCTTTCGTGGGCCTCGGATGCTGGCGAGCCAGGTTCGGGCCCAAGACTATATCCCTTTTTGCTTATATAAACCCCAAGAAGATATTCAAAACATATGTTTTTAAAGGTTCTAAGGGGAGTAAAGAAGACCCAAGACCGAAGTCACCGAAGTTCGGGTTGAGGCCACCAGGAGCTGCAGGGTTTAGTCAGGCAACTTTTCCTTGGAGGGGGCTGAGGGAAGAGGTGGGCGATTGAGGGGTGTGGCGCTTGGAGTCGAGGGCGCCCGACACCTGCAACCAGCCTTCAAACCGACCACTTAGTTTTTTCTGGTTAGTCTCAATGCAAGGACTACGTATGGTATTATCGTTATTCTGAAGGGGAAGGAACCCGGGCTACAGTAGGAAAATAACAGCAAGGTAATTACACGATACTATGGAACCCTATAATCCCCTACGTACCGGGAGTTTGGGGTTCGGGGTACCCTAAACCCAAAGCCCGAGACCCCAACACTACCACAAGCTCGATCGACAGGGCTCGGCCATTGCTTCGGGGAAACACCGCCTGCGCTGTAAGCGTAGAGGAGTGGGCAGGTGCTTCGGGTGCTTGGAGGGTGGAAGAGTCGACGTTTGCCCCTAGAGCCCAATACCCCTTCATCATAAGCACTGACCCTGAAGCCCTGAACCATAAAATCCCAAGCCCCGTGCCCCAAGATCGATTGTTCTCGTTTGGGTTCCTAATCGTTTATTTGTTTAGACAGTAGGAAAGTTATGCATAGTCAATCCAGCATTTGCTGTTCTTCAAGGAGCGGTTCTTGGTATGCTTGCATCACATGATTAATATATTGCAGGCGGGATTGGAGGTGAGAACGAAGGCAATAAGACTAAGACCTGAATTTACCGTACTATCTGGTGCAACTTCACGGCTCTGTTCGCGAAAAGCCCAATTTCGAAATAGTCTTGGGATTTTGGAAATGATTTTTATTCGCGGCAGTCCCAAAAAAGTCGGCAGTCCTGTGATAAACAGATTGGAAGCGCCTAAACCCCTCATTCCCTGGTTATCTGATGATCCCGAGCCTTAACCTGAAGCTCCTGCGCTCCTTCGGAATCCTGAGTTCTGTGCCCCTTCTACTCGTGTGGTGAAGTAGGGCGCAGTGGATGCATTCCTCGTGATGCACGTGGCGTGGCTAGCAGCTCGTGGGCCGACCTCCTTGCCGGATTTCCATCGACACCTTTCCCCCAAGCTCCTAAACCCAGGCAGGGTCCTTCCGTAACCCTTGTGCGCCTCTTTGTACGAAGGCTTATGGCAAGAGACCACTTGAAACCCTAAACCCTAAACCCTAAACCCTAAACCCTAAACCCTACACCCTAAACCCTAAACCCTAAACCCTCACTGTCCCAGCTTGTCCTGGAAGAGGCGACTTCGAGGATGGCATCTTCTCGGCCGCAGGCGATGACCCCCAGCAGGCTCCTGGGGTTCACAGGCTCTTCTAGGGGGTTTTGTTGTTCGAGGGTGTTCATCCCCCTTCGTCCCGAGTGGTGCCTGAAAGAGTTAGAACTGCAGGCCATCGAGCAGATGCGGCAAGAGGCCCGGCAATGCAGGGTTGGGAGCTCTCTCACCGCAGCCATGACTCATGAGTGCTGCTGCTGTTGCTGATCTCCAGGCCGCGAGGGTCCGTGATGTAAGAAGCGTGGCGAGTTTTTGGGGCCCTGAGACCCCTTGGGGTTTCAGGATTTCCCAAGCCTGAGGCCCAACGCCCTGAACCCTTCAAGGCACTGTGTTGTGGGCCAGGACCTCCGGCGTCGGACCCACGCAGCGTCAGTGGGGCACCAGCCGGTGCAGGCAATCCGAGGGAGCCTGGCTTAAGGGTTGGGCTCTTGCAGCGAGCCGCACCCAGGGCCTCCAAGCCCCTAGGCCGAAACCCTGAACCCTGAACCCTAAACCCTAAACTCTAAACTCCTAAACCCTAAACCCTAAACTCCTAAACCCTAAACCCTAAACCCTAAACCCTAAACCCTTCTTTGAGGAGCAGGAGTCCGTGGATGCCCTCCTGGGCACGATCCTGGGCCGCATGGTGGGCGGCTGCTGGGTGGACGGCACATTTGGTCGAGGAGGCCCCCTGGCGCGAAGTTCGGCGGTGGTCAATTAGGGTTCGGGGTCTGTGGGCTTAGGGTTTAGGGTTTAGGGTTTACGGTTCGGTTCCTTCAAAAAATCCCGGGAGGGTAAAGAAAAGGGGTAGTGGACGTGAAGCCCTAAACCCTGTCGATCGGGGTGCCGACAATTGACTGCCGGGGTCCAGAGCCAGCATCTCAGCGCATAGCCTTTCAGCCTCGACCTAGTTATATTCGTAGGATCCTTAAGGGAGGGAGTTGAATCCCAGAGAACCGAAGCTTGTGTAAGGTTTATGTTCCCTCCTTGGACTTCCCCTTAAGGTGCTGAACTTCAAAATCCTAATCCAACCGACAGACCGCACCCCAACATAGCCGAAGCAAGCATTCGGGTCTGTTTTGGGGGATGTAGGGCCGGGCAGAGTTCAAACCCTAAACCCTACACCCTGCACCCTACACCCTACACCCTACGCCCTACACCCTACACCCTAAACCCTAAACCCTAAACCCTAAACCCTCATCCCTATTCAGAGACAAGGACCCTCCCAGAGTTTCAGATCAAGTGCCAGGCCACTCCCGGTCGATCCTGGTGCGGCCCCCGTGGTTGGGGTTGAGGGAAGGGGGCCTGCAAAGCCTAGACCCTAAACCCTGAACACGGAACCCTGAACCCTGAGCCTGCGCTGGCGCTTGGAGGGAAAGTGGGCTGGCCGGTTTCGAGTGGGGCCAATATGCGTTAATTAATTGTATATCTTGTGTCGGACATGTGGAGCCTTGCGTGTGCGCGCGCGCCAGTTGTGAGAGCCGAAGCCCTAAACCCGAAACCCTAAAGCTGAGTGGTTCGTCCAGCTATGCGGGGGCCAAAAAAACCCTAGACCCTAAGCTCAACCCTCTTGGTGCCCGTGGCCGGCTTCAGCTTTGGGGGTGGCGTCTTGTGGTGTAGGGTCATGGTTCAAGTGATGAAGCGGGGGTGAGGGGTGGGTTTAGGGTTTCCGGTTTCGTGTTCAGGGGCTTAGGGAATTTGGGTGTAAAGTTTGTGCTCATGCGATCTCGTCTTCTCTAGATCTTGGAGGTTCAAGGCCAGCTGCTGCATACCGCAGTTTGGAATAGAAGCGAAAGAGCTGGACCTGATCGAAGACATGGCAGAGTCTGAGCTAGCTACACCCCGAAGTCCCAGGCCCTGAGCCTGAAAGCCTTCAACGCTTGTCAAGACTCTCAGCCGCTGTCTCTTCCAAGGCTCGCCTTTCCCAGGAGGCCTGCAGATGGCCGGGGTTGGGGGTGAAGGGGTTTCAAGTGGCCAGAGCGAGCATGCCAGGGGTGTGAGGCGGATGCAGTGTCTGACAATTGTACGCACCCCCGTGCTGCGTAGCGGCGTAGCTGCGCTTCAGGGTGTGCATTGGAGCTGGCATTCGGATGTCTGGCGGATGTGGTGGATGTGTGGCTGCCCTACCTAAACACAAACCCTCTCACCGAGCCCTGATCAAAACAGTTTTTGCCTCCTCCATGCCCCCAACCCCCCACAACGTGCCCATGAGCCCTGGACTTGTCTGATCCAACCTCGCTTCAAGGCCTTGAGAAGCTTAGGCTTTCCTGAGCTGGAGCCGGATCTCTACATTCTCGAAAACTTAGCCTTAGTGAGGGGGGTGCACGCCATGGACATGAGTTAGAACTGTGGCTACAAGTCAAAGTGGACTGCTCATGACCTTCTTTGAAAGTTTCCGTCCCGAATGCAGCATATAGTTCCTGTCAACAACCCCCCGGCCCCCCGCCCCCCCCCACCAAAAAAGTCACAAACAAACACAGAGCGACCCCCCAACTTTTGAGAACACCGCAATTCACGATGTAGGGCAGGGCTACTTATCGCCCTTCTTCCAGCTCCAGATCGCCTGGAAGCTTACATTAACCGCCACCTTAAAAAAACATCTTCAAGCACAGCCGACGCCCCCAAAAGCTCCCATGCTGTTGAGTGTGCTCGCCAGGCGCAGCTGCTACTCAGCGGAAATTGGCTCCCATGCCCCGGCCATGAGAGAGAGAGCCTACTTAGACACCCTGAGCCTGGGATGTTCCCCCTTACACTACCAGTCCTTTATAGGGATAAGTAATAATAATGATAACAATAATAATAAGAAATAATAGTAAATAATAATAATAATAATAACAATAAT